CCGCAGGCCAGGGGAGCCGCCGCCGCCGCCTCCAGAAAGTGGCCGTTGCACTGCGGGAGGCCGCGGGCCCACCAGAGCCTGGGCAGGTGAGGGCCTCCGGCGGCCGCCTCCCTCCCTGCACCGGTCGGGGTCTCCACCGCCCGGGCCCCGCCCCCGGGAGCAGGGACCTGCGCCTTCTTCGGTCCTGCCGGCGACCCTGGCGCCCATGCTGGGTGCCTGGGGCCACGACTCCCATCCCTGGGGCGCGTGCCGCTGCACCGGTGATGGCGGCGCTCGTGGGCGGTGGGGGGCGGCGCGGCGTGGTGGCGGGTGCTGGGACCGGATTCCTCAGCCTTGGGCTCCAGCCGGGCGAGGGGGTGGGGCGAGGAAGGAGTGGCGTGTGGTGGTCGTGGGGGCAGGGCGCGCTGCATAGACCCTTGAGGTCCAAGTGCAGACAGAGGAAATCAGTAAAGGGGCTTCCAGCCGGTGGGATCCCCTCGGTGCGTGCGTTTCCCTTGGGCCTTCAGGGAAGCGGGAGGCAGTGCTGCCTCCAGCCCAGGGCGAGGAGAAAGTAGCGGTGCCAGTTGTTGACCCCGTGAAATTTGGAATCGGGAGCAGGATGCAGGCGCCGGGAGCCAGTGAAAGGAAAAAGGGTTCTCCCAATCTTCTTCCTCAGTTAAAGAGATTGTCCTTTTGAGTTTGAAGTTTCGTCTCCCATTCTTGCTCTTTTCTTTCTGTTTCTAATCTTTTACTTTCAGCTTTACAGAAACTATACTTTTCACTTCCACTTGTTATGTAAGACCCTGAACTTTTGTTTTTAAAAAAATCTCAGAATGTTCTGTTTGAATGTGCTGCGGTTTTTCAGGCAACTGTGTTTTGATTTGTTCTGCGGTGTTTTGCAAGTTGTCCATTTCCTCATGTTTGGCTCAATAGACTTGTGTGTGTTTCCTATGCATTTGCTTGTGCTGGTATGTCAGATCATCCTTTTCCTGTTTCTGCTCTAGGAAAGACGGAAGTCGTTGTGTCTTCCTCTGCTTTTGCTCTTCGGTTATCTTTTGACCATGTTTTGTTTGCTCCTCCATATGACCTTTTATCACATTCGACTCAGAGCCCTCAGATGGTAGTGGTGTAACAGCGTCTAGCATTTTAGGATCAACCACAGGTGCGGCTGGAGCCTGTTCTCTCAGTCGCTCCAGTTCTTCTTTCTGGTGATTGTTTTCTTCTTTCAGGGAGGCAAGCCTTGTTTCTTCTTCCTCTAGGGTTTCCTATAAAGTTTTGGTGTCTCTCAAAGCTGGAGTTTCCAGTCTCTCCTTCTCGGGTGGTACAGTTGCCTGAATGGCTTCCGTCTCCTTTCTCCCCGAGTCAGGGAATTCTTCCACCTTTTGCGTCCCCTTTCTCAGCACATCTTTGGTGAAGTTAGTGATGTGTCTGGTGAGGGAAGCCACACTGCTGCCCACTTGCCAAAGGGAATGGCCTAAGCTGGAAGTGAGGCCACCAAACCAGAAGGCCATCGCTGTGGTTCACAGCACTGACCTGGTGCACTCTGCAAAGAGTGTCCAGCCCAGTCGGACAGTCCCACCAGGTGTCAGGTCACTGGTGACTGCATGTGGCTGAGTCAAAGCACTATGAGGCATTCTCAGCCAATGCCAGCTTGTGGGAGGGACCTCCAACAGGGAGGGTGTGGCTGTAAACTCTGAGGCCTTACCTGGGACCTTACTAATGCCTCATCTACAGTCACCCATCCCTCCAGGTGCCTCTGTTCTTCCAGAAGACTTCTTCCAACCACCGTGGTTGGGGCTCTTCTCCCTCTGCTTCAGTGACTTTCCCAGTGCCAGGTGCCACTCTGCCACTTCACTGTCAGCTGCCATGATAGCTGCTCTAAAGGCTGTCATCTCCAACCTACCTCCACCTGTACATGTGTGAGCAGGTGTGCTAATAGAAAGTACCCATTGCCTCCGAGCTTTTTACTATGTGTTCCATACCGTCCACATTGTCCTTCAGCTGCTGATCTTCATGCCACAGTTTTTTTTTCAATTTGCATTAAATTATACATAGTGATGCACATCCACCTTAAGAGTGCAACTCAGTACGCTTTGACAAATATCTATACCTGTGGATAAGCACCACCCTAGTGAAGACACTGAACATTTCCAGTGTGAAATAGGAAACAAAACAGGTCACTTATGTCTAAGGGCTTTAAAATGGAGCCAGAAACCCATTATGGAAATGGGTCTTATGCACGTCCTCATTGGGCAGAATATGATCTTTTGAACTCAGTCAAGACTCAAATATTCTGAGAATCCTGCAATAAACCTGCAACTTGTCACAGTGACAGACTTTTGCCTCTTTGTAGTCAGCCTTAGCAATTAATTATGTTTAGTCAAAATTAAGTTTCTGTCACCGACTCCAATTAACGTTCTTTGTAATGCAAATCTACCTCTTTTGCCTTTAAAAGCCCTGGTTTCTTAGTCCCAGTGGGATGCTATTTCCAGTTGCTACTCAAATCTATGTACCCCTAATTGTAATTCTTTGAACCCAGAATGAGCGCCTTTCTGCCTCTCAGTTTGGCTCTTTGCTTTGACGTTAACATACACGTGCCAGGAGCAGGACCTGAAGCAATCTCCCCTTTGTGGACCGGCATCCTCAGGAACCGGATATGGTACCTACACGAGCCCCTTGTGCTGACGGTTTCCAGGGACCTGTGGCTCCTGCAATTGGGAGCCCTCCCACGTTCTGACCTCCTTCCACTTGGTTGAGTTCAGTGTCTTTTTGGGGATGGTTGACTGCCTATGAGACAATTGTCTCAGTGCCAGTGTGGCTTTTTTGGCTCAAGGTCATTGCCCCAGGAAGGACTTCCCAGAGCAGAGTTTTCTCCCCCCTGCTTGGTGAGCACTCTGACATAATTGATGG